CCCCCCCCCCCCCCCCCCCCCCCCCCCCCTCCAGACATGTTTTAACCCCCACCTCCCCCTCCCTACCCCCTGGAACCCGAACAGGAGCGCCCGTTCCAACCGGCGCTTTCCTCCTGGAGGATACTGTGCTCGGGGACAAGCTCACCATTCCCGCCGGGGCGAAGCTGCTGTCGGTGGATGGGATTCCTACGGGACACCTGGACTTCAACACCGCGAGAGACGTGGCGCTCTCGGCCGGGGCTAAGTCCGTGCTAGCGTTCGAGTAGGCAGCAGCTGCAGCAGCAACAAGTCCGTGTTAAATAGCTTTTCGACGACAAGGCAGCAGCACTCGCGCCGACGGTCGTGTGCGGTGGGCTGGAGTACTGGGACTACTTCTGCTGCTGCTGTGATAGGATAGCGATGAGGATTGTTTTTGACGAATCGTACAACATCAGCGATGATTACGTCTAATAGTAGTTTTTTTTTTTGTAATCAACTGAGTGCTTCAGCACGCACGAGTCACGGAGTATGTACGAGTGTCTTTTTGATTTTTTTTTGGGGGGACGGACTTTTGGTGCACGGCCGACCTGCGAAAGCCAAACAAGCCAGGGCATATGTAAACGGGTTTTTGGTTTTGCTTCTCGTCAGACTTATAGGTGCACTGCCGGCGTGCGAAAGCAAAACCGCGGGCTCGACTGATCGCCTTGTTTGGTGTAAAGAGTATTTTTAGGCGATCTTCTACCTCGCGGCAGTGCGGGGGGCCACGCAGAAAGGAGCGGCGATTTTTTACCCCCCCCTCTAGGAACGATTGGCCATTGGTGATGGGTCCTCCGTCGTCTCGAGGACGCGTGGTCAATGGTCCAACAACAAGGCAAACAAAAAAAAAACATAAGAGTACGCACACACACCCTCCCTCCGGAGAGCGGGATATAGTCGGCGGGCAGCCAGCCCTAGTCTATCGTGCTGCCTTTTTCTTTCTTGTAGCTTATTTTCTTCAGGTTCTACTTTTTTTGAGACGTAAAAAGAAACTTGAGTTCTGTGAATGTCACCTCGGACTGTCGTAGATTGTGACCTCAGCAGCGTGAGCCTGAGGCCCCCTTCTCGTAGCATAGTTCTCGGTTAAGATGGAATGGTTGTTTGGGAGTATTCTGGAATCGTCCTGACAGACGTTAGTTGGAGAAAGTGTGGTCCTCTTGAACGGCCAAAGTATGGTAGAGCTTTGTTCACGGTTTCCATCTCGAGAGGGGATTTCTTGGGGGGAATGTTTCGAGTCCCATTTCGCGTCATCATCCCCCTTATTTTCTCTTTGGGCGTTGTCTCGTCCATTACGGGGCTGGTTTGTTCGTTGTTCCCTCGTGTGGTTTGGAATGCATTGTTTGTGTGTGCGGAGAGATACATATCGGATAGAAAAACAACGGCGTTCCTCTTTGTTGCCTCTTGGAAAGTTGGCCCCGCTTGGTGTAAGAGCCATGGCGTGCCTCTTTTGCATATGAATCGCCTGTTTGTCCGTGTGTCCAAAAGTTGTTTTTGCACAAGTGTTGTGATTGGATTGACCCTTGGAGTATAAGTGTGTCCATGAGTGCCATGGTATTTGTGATCTAATAGTGTGTTTTGGTGGCCTACCTTGGTTGTCCAACCGATGGATTAGCCTCCTCGGGGTTGTTGCACCCACGCGAGTGCACTGGGTTTCATTAGTGATACAGTCGAAGGTAGGATTTGGTGGCACGCGGTTGTCTGATAGGTCGAGATCGTTAATCCTGGTGTTTGCTTGATTTGCTACTACGCGAAGCAGGGCCGGCCTTACTACGACGTACGTTTTGCCAGCCCACTGTGTTTGCTTTGATTGCACGAGCACGAAACTCCCTGGCGTAACATTGAATACGTTAGTCTTTCTCTTGTTGGAGTTAAAAGGTTCCACAAAGCATTTATTCCCTCGGTAAAAACACTAGGCAGACGACGGACATTGCACTCGCGCAGATACATCGGGCGCAGATAGACTTGGAAATGTCTCTCGGTCGATTCGTGACACACAAGTCAAATCAAGTGGAGTTGGCGACGTTTTCGGTGGTGCTTGCCACATGTATGTCCGTGTCCTCTCTGCGCTGGTTGTTTGTTCGGCGCGGGGGACCTCGTACATTGCAGGGCGTGGAAACAATTTGTAGCCAAACTGTCATTCATGCAGTTGTATGATATCCCTCTCAGGTGATTGAGAGGGGGGGGGGGTATAGAGCTTGCCTGCTGCCTCTCAGGGTTGGCTAAACCTACGGTATACACACTACCGTACATCTACTTCTGGATTGTTACAGCCCGAACACACTACACCTGTCGCAACATGTTGATACACACTGCGCAAAGGATCATGCCTTCTACTTGTAATTACAATAGCGGGGGGGTGAAGTCTACCCCCCGCATTTGGAAATCAAATTGCGACATGTGACATGCGACACCCCCCGCAAAAAAAACATCTTATAGAATCGGGGGGGGGGGAAGGCGCATACATACATCACATTGCGCACACGCTCGCCTCTTCAACGGTAGTCCTACAAAGGGGGGGCTCTTGTTCGAGCAAGGAGCAAGGTTCCGAGTCTGTTACAGGCGTGATCGAAAAATTGAGCATGATGCCTTCTTCGAAGAAACACGACACCACGGCACCCCGTTTGTGCCCGGCTGGAGATACGCCTGCGTTAGTGGACGAATGGACGAATGAATGATGATGCTCTCAAATGTGAACACAATGCTCCTTTCTGCTACAATATGCTCGAGCATATGCTCTTTCCGGAGTATGCTTTTGCTTATGCTCATATAGGCCAATTGTGCCAAAGTTCTGCTCGCAGAATGGGGAAAGCCCTAGCTTGAGGGAGCTGGAGAGCGGCGAGTAGGGAGTTCATAGAGCGAAAGAGGCGTGTGCAGCGAGACTTTTTTTTTTTCTCGCGCAGCAGCCGGTCTGTTTGCGGCACATGTACACCGACCAGGACAGCACCACAGAAGCGCGGCCGTACAACAGTGGCGACCGCGAGGATTTCATGTGTGCATGATTGGTGTTCTCCGGCCACAGACAACCCCAAGCGGTAGCAACAACCCCAGCAGAGAGAGCGGAAGTCTTGTCCAGGGTAGTAGAAGAGAGACCAAGACCACCAATACCCCGGCGCAAAGATATCTTGCGCCGGACGGATGTGATGACGCCCGGCACTTGGCGACCTATGCGCTAGCAGAAGATCCGGCCGGCGACGATGCATCTGTCACTGCGTCGACATCGCCTAGACTCATTGGAGGTGAGACCCCGCGTCACACCAGCGACCGGGAGTGAAGCAGTTGACCGGTCGTTTGGGATCATACAACATCTGAATCTTCGAAATCTTTCATCGCGCATGAAAGATCGTTTGCCGCAAGATTCTGTTTTCTCTGCCTCTCCCACAGGTCATGCTGACGCTTTGGTATGTATGCTTCGCGTCATGCTTTGCAGGGCACAGCAGTGATGTCTACTCCACCAGAGGTGATAAGCGAGCGCCACCTCAGCTGCGACCAGCCCGGCTCGCAGTTGCCGTTGTTCAATCAACGAGTGATGGCCATCAGGTCAAGGCCCTGGACAACCGTGCGGAGGTTGGGACGATTTGCGTGGCTGTGGCGCACCAAGCGCTGAACAGGGCTTCCCATACACATTTGGGTACAGCGGGGCCTGGAGAGTCTATGCTAAACACCAACCTTTCAGCCTTTGGTGCGACCGGGCTATCACCTCTCTCAGCGAGCGCCGGCACACTGCGGAAGATCGTACGTCGATGTGCACAACTATTTGCACCGCGTGCTGCTGGTAGGGAAGCACATGGCAGCGAGGAAGCGTGTTTGGTGCTCTACTGTAAGCTTCCCGGCGGAGTGATTATGGCGTCTCCTCTGGACGGACCGGCCTTTCGTCTTCGAAAAGATGTCGGTGCGGTCGAGGGAAAGAGGTCGGTGGGCAGAGAGGCGACTGACGGCGCACAGCAGGTGCGACACAACATGCAGATGGCCAAGAGTCCCTGATCCCATTGATGTGGCTACGAAACACGTTGTGCAAACATGCTGTGGTATATATACATATATACGCGACCTCAATGCTCTCCAGCTGCAATAGTACCATAATGATATGTTCGAATATGATGGTTTCTTGTTGTGTTGAAGGCGATACCTCAAACAAGAACTTGGTACAACATGCCTGGTTCTTACGGTACGTACAGAGCACGGTATCCCTCACGCACGCCAGTATGTACATTAAACTAGTAGGCCTACAGTAACGGCGTTTATTACACTGTCCGTGTTGCCTGACCTTTTTGACACCCTGAAATCTGGACCAAAAGGGGTGATTCCCTACTTGTTGGCGTACTGTAGTCTACTCGACAGAGATCTCCCCCCGCCAAGCGTGGAATGAATTTGGCCTTAGCAGGCGACAAATATATCAAGAAATTGTATTGTGCGAGACAAAACTCCTCGGTTTAGGTATGAGCAGATTTTGTTCTCGCTATGTTTATGTTCCGAGGGAGGCGGGTCCGTTCCATACCCTGCTCTTTGTCGTTCTAGACCTGCTGCCCTAGAAACGTCTGCTTATGAAGGGATGGGAGTTCTCTTTTTTTATTGGGGGGCGTTTCTGGGTTCGCTTGTGAGATGGAAACTCAGTCCCTTTGCCTTTGAAGGACAAAGAATAGGAGAAACCAGATACTAAAGAGGCCTGAATGGTTTTTGCTGAGGAACCATAACAGAAGATTCCTTGATACGCCGCCCGGGAGGCGGGTGCCACTTTCGCCTCGCCGCCACTGAATATTTTTTGTATCTCCCCCCTCCCCCAATGCAACCTTTGATGTAGAAGTCCTGGACACTGCCGGCGGAGGGGTTCGAAGCTCTCTGCGACTTGGAAGACTCCGTGGCACCAGGGCTTCCAACACTAGCCAGGGAGATGGCGAGAGACGGCAACTGCGTGGCAAACGAGAGTGGCGGGGCCACCAGGCCCTTAGCCGAGGAGATTTCCCTTCGAATCAGCGGCGACAACGAGGACCGGCAGAGCTACGTGGTGATCCCACGAGTGGCAGGCATAGTCTTTGCCCGGCTAGGCCCCGCAGGACCCCGTGCTGTCACCGGGGGTCACGCGAGCGATGTCGGCAGCAGTGGCCGCGCTTGCGTTCGAGCGTCGGTAGTGATGGCTCGACTTGAGCGAGAAGACGGCGGCACCGGCACGCTGGCTGTGCGGCACCGGTATGTCCTCGAGGAGTTAGATGTGTTTCGCGGGGACGGCGATTTCCGAGACTGCAGTAGAGCTGTTAATACCGAGAGAGCAAGTGCAAAGAAGATCACAAGACGCTATCTGTCTCTGCCGGTGGCTTACGCCGATCTGCTGGAGGAGGCCACTTCGCCGTCGCCAAGCCCGGGGGGTGAGGTTTGCGGTTGTGGTGCCCCCATGGGTTTTGCATATGGCTCTGCATCCAGCACTTGCTTTTTTTGCTGATGTGGCTCAGGCATCAGATAGATCTGGATGGGGGTAGTTATGGCGCCGGTTTTGGCCCCCCTCGAATCAATGTACGGCGGCTTTCTTCTAGCGGAGAGACACCAGAGTCGCGCCGTGAGGTTCAGGCCTTAAAGGAAAGTCAACGTAGGAAGTACAGATAGTTAGGCCACCTAAATTTTGGACCTTTTTACTCCGAGGGTGAATGAAAACCATGCCTCCCTGTTCTCACCCATTGTTGGCAACACTTCAACTAAGCATCACAACGTTTCCTGCGGAAATATGGTCGGCTTTCTGCTTTTCCGATTTGAACGGCCCAGGAAAATTTTTTTCTTCCAGAATCTGTAGCCGATGGCGCCGGCGGCATAAGCACCGAGCAGGCGCGAATCAAGTCGTCCCCGACGTAGGAGAAGACATCGGATTCGAAGACGAGCGGGGTAAACGCCTGCTCGGCCCCGAGCAGCCTGTACGGGAAGACAGACGCGCCGCAGGCTCAAGGAAACCCAGCCAACGCGAGCCGCCATCTGCCACGGCGCCACGCGCCGGGGGGGTCAGCACTCGCTATCAGCCCGAGGAACCACAAGAGCTCGCTCTCACCGTACGCGGGGTGCAAGCGGCGTCGTTGGACCAGGCAATACGGTGGGCTTCGACGCGAGAAGTCGTCTGGGCGGTGTTAGCCGCGGCGTGCCGACCGGAGGACGGCGGTTGCCGCACGGCGGCTGAGACCCGAGGAGATGCGGCACAGACGACAGCGGTCTGTGCCGCGGGTGCGGCTCGTGCCCTGCTGGCCAGGGTGTTCGGGAACGGTACACCAGACCGAGGAACAGCCAGAATTAGTGACAAGGAGGCGCCGATTGTTCTCGGTCGGTGGTGGGAAGGCTTCTGCGCGGCCGCGGCGCCATTTTGTTGCGACGACGGCGGGGGGCAGGGTACCTTGCCCCTCCTGCGAGAGGCTCCCAGATTTCTCCTCGAAGGGATGCTGGAAATCCCCGCGGTAGAGACGGCCTTTCTCGAGCGAGGCTTGGTACGGCATCTGGCGGACGTTTTGCACCTCGCTTTGGTGCAGATGAAATCCGCTCGGGAAGAGGAGGAATTGTGCGATCATCATAGCACGGGCTATCCGTGCACTGGGAACGCGTCTCCGTGCGGAATGACCAACCTCCCCGACGGTGACGCCAATGCTTCCGGTCCTTCCCACGGCACCATCGGGGCGATTATCCGGCCAATAAAAGAAGAAGGTGGTGCATCCTCCTCCCCTGAAGCGGACCCTCGTGATCAACGACTTCCGTGGTGGCTAATTTTCCACCAAAGGAGGGGGAAAGCATGTTGTAGACATTCTGATCATGCCTTCGAGGACGCGCTCAAAACCGGTGGTGGTAGCGCCGACGGAGGTAGCACCGGGAGGAGCTGCAGGATGGTGTCGGGCGACAGCAAGGGAGAAAGAGTGGGCCGTGGACCTGACACCAGCCGAAAAGACGACGCCAACGACTGCCTGAACGTCGCTGCCGGCAACGACAGCCTCGGATCGGAATCCGTGCCGACTCCCTCCGTATCAGAGCACCGGGAGCGTGAGGGGATAGTGCAGCGGAGGACCGGACACGGCACTGATGTTGTCGCCCACCGGGAGAGGATTTCCCCGCCGATGCTACGGCTCGACGCCCTGGACTCGATTCTCGCCACCAAAGAGTGGGGGTCTCCACGGGGTAGTTCGCAGCGCGCGGCGGTAACCTTGTCCACGGCTTCTACTCGGGCGGCGCCGGAACATCTGGTGAGTGTTATTCCCTGCTCGGTTACCCCATTACCGGCCTTGTGTCAATGATTTCGATCAATTATAGCAGTCACACCATCACTACGTGCATGGGACCAATGGCCTGGTCAGCCCGAGTATCAGAACGCCGTCTAGAACACTAATACAATTCGACAATTTGCTGTGGGCTCTTGGTATTGGTTTGTGATCTAGGTCGTGATTGCATCCGCATTTCCTGCTGCGATATCTAGTCTATTTGACTTGCGATGCGTCCGAGGCGTGGCGATCCGCGAACGATATGATGTGCTACCCAGACAACCGAGGTGATTCGTCAACGAGCTGCCTCGGTTTCGCACCGCCGGGATAAGGCGGGAGTCATGTACCTGTAGGACTCCACCTCGCCGGTCATCTGTGTCGTTGGTTCCCCATTCTTGACAAGAACCACCGATCTCTTACCGTTCCGTGCTCCGCTCCCTCTCTCTCACGCACGCAGCCTACGTTCTTGAGCGCACGGGGGGCAACAAGCCGGGCCTCCGCTCGCCATGGCAGCGGGTGCTCCTTGCGCACTGGTCGCACAACCCAGAGAGACTGGACAGCCTCGACCGGGTGTCCGACCGTTCGAAGTGTTTCGCCTACCGTCGTGACTGATGTGGATGCGGCGGCGTCTTGCCCGCTGCCGCTGCCGTTGCCCCAGCCTTTGTTGTCGAATGACAGGGACCCTGTCCGCGGTGATGACGGGCGTGGCGGAGAAGAAGTGGGTAGTGGAGGAAGTGATGGTGGCGGCGATGGTGAACGTTGTGGTGCTAGTGGAGATGAAATGTGTTTGGGAGGTGGTGGTGGTGTGGTGGTAGGGACGAGGGCGGCTAGCGGCGGTGGCAGTATTCCACCGGCGGTGGAGCAAGCACCGGGCAAAACTGACGGATCCGGCATCATTGAGGATGATGATGGCAATCTCCTTCACAATTCTGACACGGCAGACACCGTCGTGCCGGCGACGCACGGCGGAGGATATGTCAGTGTCAGGAAAGAAATGCCTCGCTTGTCTCTCGAGGAACTCCCGGTGACGAGAACGGCGGCAGAAGCTACAAGTGTGGCCGTCGATCGAGATAGCCCATGCACTTCCGGCACCACCTTCGCCCGGGTTTCCCCCCGCGCGTCACCGGCGTCGCCCAAACAGTCTCCCGCTCCTGGGTATGCCGAGCACAGCACAGAGCCTGGAGGTGGGTATCTGGTGTTATCGCCTCCGGTAGTAGATGGCGGTCGCGGATACTCTGCCAGGCACAGCCCTCACCAAGCAACGCAAAATGGCGCCCTTGAGCAGGTCGACCGCACCCCGGACTGTAGACCGGGATCCACGCCATCTGCTACCGCCATCACCGGCGACACTTTCGAGGGGCCTTCCGACGGCGTCCGTTCGCAAAACCACCCACCGGCTGTTGAGAACTCGGATAGAGTGGACCACGGGAGCCTGCGTGCGCTGCCGACGTATGACTCCCCGGTGACTTTGGTTGTCGATTTGGCTCGTGGTTCGGCACTGGTATTTGCGCCGCTGTCTCGGCCGTCACGGGCGCAGCAGAAGCGCCAGGCCACCGCACATGTGTTCGGGGCCGCGGTTGCGATCGCGAAGATGTTGCTGTCCCTTCTCCCGTCGACGCCGGCCGAGCGTGATCCCGAAGACAGACTTGTTGCCGCTCTGGAAGTTCTCTCGTTTGTAGGAGCGTTGTCGTGGACCGACGGCAACGCTTGGGCAACGGCACCTGTGACTACCACCTGTGGCAGCAAGCCGGCGGTGGTGGGCCACGCCAGGAGGATCGACGCCGGTCCTCACGATACCCGGCGTGAGCCCTCAGTTTGGCCGCTTGAGCTCGATAACGTCGGGATCGCGCTGCTGTCACGAGCGGGAGAGGTCCACCTGGACCGCCGGTTGTCGGTGCTACGGGTACAGTGTCAACGAACTGACCACGACGAGTGTGGCGAAGAGATGACATCCCAGTCACACCGAAGCCATGTGCACAACGCGTGCAGGCTGGGCTTGGAGTGCGGGTGGATGACCCGTTTGTTCCTCCGGAGGGTACTCGCCGCTGGTGCCTTCAACAGCGAGTGGCGGTCCGTGCTTTCCGCGGAACAAAGTGTCGATGCCTTACGGTTTTGCGGCCGCGCCTTCGAGATGCTACAGCGTGGCCTCCGCTGCACATGTTCTTCGGGTGCGAGCTACGATATCGGGCGGTCCGACGACAACCACGAGGTTCAGGAAGATTCTGCAGAGATGGCACAAAGATGCAGTGGGCACGCGGAAGAGTCGCTGCTGCTAACCGCTCCGGCCGCTGTTGACCTGGCCAGGTTGGTGGTTGTCCTTGTGAGGCAACCGGTAGCTTGGGGCGAGAACCCAGCCTGGGCGGCACTCACGCTCGGCTCGGCTGCTTCTCGTCGTGACGGTGAAGGCGCGATTGTCCCGGTGCTAGTGGAGCTGCTTAACCAGTTGATATCGGTGACATCTACCGAAGACGGAGATGCCTCACAGGGGGTGGGGGCCGAAGCAGGACAACACTGGCGACAAGCACATGGTGGTCACACCCTGCTCGAAGGGGCTCAAGCCCTGGAAAGAAGACTGACTGGGGGTGGAGATGTTATGGACGAGCTACTGTTTTCTCTGCTCGGGAGTTCTGCAGCTATTGTGCGCAGAGCTGGAACTTTGCTGGAGACCCTGCAAGAAACCTCAGATTCGGCGGTACCAGAGAGGGTGGACAAGGACGAAAAAGAAATATCAAAAGCTGCTGCTCTAGTCGCAAGGGAAATGGCCCCCATTTTTCGACCTGACGGACTAATCCTGAAGATGATGACCACACCTCTTCAGAGCGGGTCCAGTATCGAAGAGGCGACAGACACATCGGCAACCGTTCCAACCAAACAGCCTGACGTAGGCAGCCCGATCCCTTCCCCGTGTTTGGCGGCGGCGGCGGCTGTGCGGCTGAGCGCTGCATACTTCTCCCTTTACGGGAGAACCCCCAGTCGCGAGGAGCAAGATCTGGTGCGCCTAGAAGCTTTCGTGGACCCACTCTTTTCGCGTTTCCGTAAAGAATGTGAGGCCTTGCTCGGACAATCTCAGCCTGAAGGTAGCCACGAGGCCCCGCCGAGCGAGCGGGTGCGTCAAGCTGCGTGCGCGGCGCGGAATGAGCCAAAGACAGAGCAGGAGGGCACCGCCGCGAGGCGGCGGGGCAGTGTCCTTCTTTGTCGCCTTCATCTCGAAGCGCTGGTCGAGCTCGCAGCAGTGCAGGACGCGGCGGTCCGGAAGCGGCTCGACGACTGCCGCGTGGCACCGTTCTTAGTAGAACGCGTCCTTGGAGTGGGTGGCGACGCGGCAGGCACCACAAAAAAATCACCTAGACCCGTCCACGGGTCAGTGGAGAATTCATCGTGCTGTGACGCAACAGTGACGTCGCGAAGCTCCCTGTCACGCAGCCCGTCCGCCGAGCACCTGTCTTCCGTAAACGGGTCAGGCATCACCTCTCCGACCCACCAAGTCGCGAAAACAGATACCGCGGAAACTTGTGGCGCCAGCTCCAGTAGCGCCGTCGCGGAGAATGCCACGACTTCTTTGTCGGTGGGGGATAGGGTTGACGGCCTCGTGTCCGTGAAACGCGGGAGGCCGAGGTGGTTTCCGGGGCGGGTTGCGGGCATGAACGGGGATGATGGCACCGTGCACGTCTGCTTCGACGACGGCGACGAAGAGATCAGAAAGGATCCCGCAGAGTTGCGCCCTAGCCGGAAAAGGGACACCGAGAGGGTCAAGGGTCGATCGCGTTCGACACTCCCAAGGCCCGCGGGAGGGGGGACGGCCGCTAGTGCCACGCAGAAAGGTGGACACCAGCTGGCGACGACAAAAGAACAGTCAAAGCCGAGGGTGTCTTCCAGGCCGACTTCAGATGTCACGAACAGCGTGATACCTCCGCCTGCCACCCAAACCAAGCGGTCTGACGCCGTAGCGGGAAAAGAGTGTTCGTCACACGGTAATCGAAACGCGCCCGTTGAAAGTGGAGCCCGCAGAAGTGCATGGGCGGGCGGGGATGCCACCGTGGCCACCATGTTTGAGGGGGGGGGCGACGTTCCTGCGACAGCGATCGCTGCTGATGACGGCGGCATTGGTGCTGCCGAGGCCGACAGCGAAGACGACGACGCGTACTTCGTAATACAAAGCGTGTTGGACGACGCGAGTGCGGTCAGCAACAACGGACGCCCGTCCGTCGCTGCCGATTCCGCCGCTTCGATGTCCGTGGTGCCCAGGATAGACCTTCAGTCCCCGGTGTTTCGGACGAGGGTTTCTTCGTCACAGCTCGGCCCCGGCTCGTCGCTATCCACCCCTACAACGGGGGGGGCGCGCATTCTAGACACGGTTAGGGGCGCGGCAGGTTCGCGCTCCGAGGCGTCGCTGTCCACAGCGGTGTTCCCGAGCGGGCGGAGCTCGCGAGTTCTACGCCCGCCCTTGTTCACCGACCGGCCTTCCGCTATCGGCGGCGGCGGCTCGTCGTCGCGAGGTTTCAGCATGGTACGCAGCGCTTCCGTGCTATCCGACACCCGCCCCCCGATGGCGGACAGCGGTGGCAGAGTCACGGAACGCGAGATCACGGGGCTGCTCAAAAACGACGGAGAATCGTCGTCAGATGAAGATGAAGAAGAAGAGGAAGGAGAGGAGGAGGAGGAGAGGCCGGAAAAAGGAGTTCCATTGCCGGAGGCGGGAAATTCTCGCTCACCACGACAGCTTCCCCAATGCAGGAGACATAAAGTCGAAACGGACAATGAGCGCGACGCGGGGGCAGGGGGCCACCCACAAGGGGCGAAGAGAATGTCGGAGGAGGAAGCAGTGCGGCTGCGAGACGACGACAAAAACAATCAGGTCTTGCCTCGAGTCAACTACGAGAACGATCTGAGCGTGATCCAACGCTACGCCGTCGAACTTCTTCTGTGCATGGCCACTGCGCCGAGCGGCCACGGCAATTCGCCGGCGTGGGAGCACATCTTGCCGCCGACGTCGGCCAGGGGGTCGGTGGAGATTGCTTCGCTGAGAGCGTTCTTTGACAGCGATCGAAACGCCCACATCGTTCCGAGCTTGAGGTCGCAGTGGCACCCAGAGGTGGCGGTGTTAGCGAAGCTAGTCTGCACCGCGCTGTTCGACGCGCAGAGCTACTCTCTCGACGGGGATCACATCGGGGCAGGAAGGTTTGGCGGGGTCATCGTATCCGAGTGTCCTCTTCCGCTTGGTGGTGGTCGGTACCATCTAGCGTCAGCACAAGCATCCTCCACACCTTCCTCTGCCGGAAAGGAAGATGGACTGGAATCACCAACAAGGCTGGCAGAGTCCTCGTTGAGCGTCCCGCCGCGACGGTCGAAGAGTGGCCGCGAACAGGGCGAGGTTGCTTTGAAGGTGATAGGAAGGGACGACTTGGACGACGCTGTGGGCCAGAACGTTTTCTTGGAGGCCCTCGCGCTTCGCGCTCTCGCCGACGTCCCCGGCGTGTGCCGCCTCTACGACTTCGGCGTTACACCCACGTCATACGTCTTGGTCCTAGAAAGGTGCGCTTGCAGCCTGAACGACTGGCGGTCCGCGCGCAGCGACAACGACAAAGACGATCTAAGCACGTCTCCGTGTGGGCCTCGTTCTGACGCAGAGGTAGCCCTCTACCTCGCCGTTTTCCGGCAAATCGTCGCCGCCGTGGGTGCGATGGCGGCGAGGGGTGTCATCCATTTTGACCTCAAGTGCGACAATGTCCTCGTTCGCGGCGGGAGCAGCAGGACTGAGTACCACGAGTGCCTTACCTCTTCGCCAACAGCGGCAGGGCTCAGAACCGTCTTGGCGATGGAGCAGGATATAGTGCCGTCCGTCTGCGTAACCGACTTCGGGGAGGCGATCGTCGGGCGGCGGCGGAGGTGCCCGCCAAAGGCAACCGACGCCTTCCCTGCGGCTGCGGGGCCAGACCCGGGCTCGGCCACAAATGGCGATGAATTCTTTTTTGACGTGCGTGGTTCACGTGGAACCGAACGTATCCAGAGTCCGGAGATGGTTCTCCTGTCGGGACGCGGTGGCGGCACCGGTGGTGGTGGACCTTCAAGCGCGGACCCCGCTGTGGGTGCCGACCGAGGAGAGTCGGCTGGGGGAATCACCACCGCATCTGACGTTTGGTCGCTTGGGTGTCTACTGTACGAGCTGCTCTCTATGCAGCCCCTGTTCAGAGACCTGCAATGGTCTGAGTTTTTCGTGACCCTGACGGCGGGCGAAGTGGTTGGCGGAGCTGGCAACGGGACGGTTCCTGTGGCTGAGGGTGCGTCGGTACCCCCGTTGCCACCACCACTGAGCCTGTGCCCGTTCGCCGCTCTCGGCTGCGCCAAGGCGGTGAAGACTCTCCTAGAGGCGATGTTGGTGCGTAACCCCGCCAAGCGACCGAGCGCCCTCCGAGTGGTGAGCGTTGTTGACGAAGCGCTGACGGCGGTCGTGTCTAGCCTCCCCGTCGGGAGCGAGAAGCATCCACCGACGACAATAACCCGACCAAAGACCAAGAATCAATCCGCCACATCTCTGGGTTCGCCCGATGCCAACACACACAGCATGCCTCGTGGACAAGGAGACTCACCCGGCGGGGAACACTCGCAGGTGGAACATCAGACAGAGGTCGTAGCACACAGCGGAAGGGGGTCCGGAGGACAGGCGACGACAGAAGCGGCGGCAGGACGGGCACCGTTCCACCCGTCCACGACCGTCGGCGCGCTCCGGAGCTTCGCCGCAAAACAGCAGTCGGGCGTTCTAGGGTGCGACGGATGCTTGCACCGGTTGGGGACCGGCGCGTTCCTCCTGGCCCTTAACGGTCCAACCGACGGCGGCGGCGGCGGCGGCGGCGACTGCATCAGAGGTAAGGGCGAGAATCTAGCAGCTTGTCCGGCGCGGCAGCAGCTGGGCTCGGAAACCATGGTGTGCTGCAACACCACAGTGTGGCGAGATTGTTGCGTGGGGGCGGCCGCGGGGGGGACGTCAGCCTTGGCGGTAGACGAGATGGCCCCCCTGGGGATCATTCTTCCGGCCCTCGGCATCAGCCACATCGTATGCGTCAACACCACCTACGGCAACCCGGCCACGTCTAAGCAGCAGCAGTCAGACTCCCGAACGCCGGGAAAAAAATCTCGAATTCTGAGCGTCTCCGTCCGCACGGAGAAGGACCGAAGTCGGGAGGAAACCGGCGGGGCTTCGCCCCCCTCGAGTGCGGCGAGATTGGTTCGGGACGTGGCGGAGTTTGCCACCGGGCCGAGGGTGCTTTTTGCCGGCGTAGGCGGCGGGTGCGGCGGCGAGGCAGGTGCCGTCGCAATGGCGTGGGCGATGGAGCGCACCGGGAAGGGGGCCTACGAGACCATGCTAAGCTTTAGGCAGGCATGTGCGGAGTTTTGGGTCGAGACGGCCACGATCAAGTCTGTGCTAGGATAGAGTAGGAAAATGTGGTACATAAGGTAGGGTGTTTTTTCGATAGGTTGAGTGAACAGAAAAGGCTGCGATACATACCGCAAGGTAATGTTGCCTGCTGCAAACGACGGTAGGTGGAAGTTCGCTGCGAAACGGAGGGGAGGTTGATTGCGAACTCGAGGGTATGGCATTCTCGAGGTCAGCCTGCTAACGTTAGATAGGGTTTGGACCGTGTAAGTATATGCATTCAGGTCTTTCGTTGTCAACAGAGTTGCTTCATCAGATGTTGGTGGGGGGCACCTTGCTATACTGTGTTTTTTGTTTCCCCTGTGTAGTGTTGTGTTACACGCGTTAACATGTGTTTGACTTTGGCCATGTGTGCTTGTGTCCCGACCGAGATGAGACATCCCACGATGAATACTGTTCTTAAGACCGAGAAAGATACTATGGTGCTCTCCGGATTTTCATTAAGTTTCTTGCCTCAGAGCAGAAAGTATGATTCAGAAAAAACAGAACGTTTTTCGACTCAAAAATATCATGACAACCCTTCATTCGACAACTGCGGTTTGCACTGAACCTTCTCCCTCTCCCCCACTCTATCGGTGTCTGCATTCACCCAATCATGGAATGTCAACAGTCGGAACACGAAGTTTCACCACCAGATACGGGTATCAAAATCCACACATTGGTTCAAATTGCCGCTGGTACTACCAAGGGCGCGTCCTCCCCGAAACGGTATCACTCCTGACGGGAGCCCCAGCCCCTCGCTCTGGCACGTCGAACTTCCGCCTGTCCTTCCCCGTCAAGATGTCGACGTACATCCCCCCGGGAACGTCCCCCCACCCGTCCGTCGGATGAAGCACCTCCTTCTCCGCGTTGTTCAGCGTCCGCCGCGGCCCCGTTCGCATGGCGACCTTCCCCCTAGCGCCCTCGTCCTCCCGCCCGTTGATCACATCGAACCGCACCCCGAGCACCCCCTCTCCGCCGCCGCCCCCGCGCCGAACGCTGTCCCTCGCGGACGTGTCGAGGCGGTAGGACCCGTCCCGGAGCGTCGATCCCCCCACAGCGGGCTGGTCCACGCGGGGCTGGTCGCGAGGATGCTTCATCTGGAGCTCCGCCGTGGCGGTCTTCAGCTCCGTCGTCGGGTGCTGGCCGAGCGAGTAGTTGGTGCGGTTTGCGTTGAGGCGGTCGAAGCCCTCCTTCGGCCGCCGGATGGCGTAGCCCGGGGTATGCACGGACTTGGTGAGCTCCATCCTCGTGACGGTGGAGAAGCGCGGGTCCGACGGTGGTGGACTTTTTGCGTGCGTACGGCAAGAAAGAACGCCGTTGGAGTAAGGATGCACGGATGTTCATATTTTTTCGTGTGAAGAGGATTCAGTAAAAAGGAACGGTTTAATTATCTGCGAAAGGACGCGTATTTACAAAAGACAAATCAACGACATAAACCGTATCGGACCGGCGTGACACATAGGTCGCAAAAGAAATGAGGCAATCTACATGCGTGTGGGCACGGGTCGCACAAACCACTAGCATGCAGCTTGATGCCCTTGTGTGGCCGATTGTGCTTGATCACTTGGATATTTCTGGCAGTGAGAATACGGGGGGTGATACAGCATCGCCCGGTGAGACACTCCGCTCGTGTCGGCGAGAAGGTGTCATCGGCGCCCTCAAACCCCCCTTTTATGACGCATTCATTCGTTCCTACTGCTGTTGGGATAACGTTTCCGAGCTGCCGCAATAGTATCCCAACCAATACTCTGAGCCAGTCGGACCAGCGTGACACGGTCGTGCGGTACCTGTAACTCCCGTCGAAGACCTCGTCCGAGGCGTTCTTGTTGACCATCTCTCTTGGCTGGAAGATCGCTTCCGTCACCCTGCTACAAGACTCGGCGTATGTTGTCTGTTGTGGTCGCAGGCACGGTAAGCGTGTTCAGGGCAGGGATTATTCAGGTACTCGTCGACCAAGACCCAATACGCATTGATGACCCCGTGTCAACCGAGCTTGTTGATCTCTAACATGGCTATCAACGGAAGACCAATCGCCGAGAGTTCGTTGTCCATTACAGTACAGTACCGTGCATGGTTTCTCGTGGGCGGCAATTTGTTGCTCTTCTTGTTGCGGTTGGGTTAGGGTTAGGGTTAGGGTTAGTCGCGTGTTGCTCCCTGTTCAAAACAAGCCAACCCCACCACCATTGTTTTTCTGACCCCTTTCACACGGCTCACGTTTGGATTCACAATAAGCCCACGAATTTTTGGTGTTGAACGTCTTCATATGGCGAGCACAAAAATGGGGATCGTACATACAGTACAAACACCGATCATTCGCATATTCTGCGTCTAATTGGAGGTACATGCATGGATACAGTGGGTGAAAATCTACGGACGTTTGTGGTGGGCCGCCGAAAAATCAACGGGCAGGGTTATTGGCCTCCAAGCGCTCGATACCATGTTTTGCAGGGTTCTCTTGGCCTCCCAGCTTTATCGAACCCAAACAATGAATGAAGTATTATGGCGTCACTTGCGCATCCCCCGATGGGACATGGCCGCGACGCGTGCGTGGTTGTAGTCTCGTGTCGCGAGCGCTAAAACGCACGGAAACACTGCAAGCACGATCATCAAGCTCAGGTTGAACTATCCATCTGAGTAGACTTGGGGGGGTGGTGGTGACGGCAGCGATGGCGGAAGATGAGGTGGTAGCGGGAGGCTGTTGTTGGCGTCGCCTGTTGCGGTAGTGACTCAATCTCTCCGCCTGCGAGCATGTTCGAAGGATCCCCGTACAAGTAGAAGAAAATCAGACCCCAACCTGAGCTCAATGGCAAGCCGAGGTGCCACATCTGTATGGAGCAAATGTGACGCCCTGCGGTTTCGAGACTTCTATCAGGAAGCCCGGCGTGAATACAACGCTAGGGGCACGGGCAAGCGGGTTTGCCGGGAACAATCTGGCGGCTCGGCGGCGGGCGCAGATTCGGTTCTGATTTTCTTCAGAGACTATGCTAAGAACCATGCTCCTAGGCGGAGAGATTTAGAAACTGACGGCCAAAGGTGGAGAGAAAAGAGGAGCCGGGCGCAAATGAACAAGGGGGGGCGAGTCTTCGCATCTCTCGCCCCTCGCTTGTAAGTTCATGGTCATCAAAAACAAGTTGTACTTTTTCAGCTCACCCCAAAAGATTGTGGATCTACACCAACTCTCCAGTTTGTGTCCGACGCCCCGTACGCGCCGGCGGGCTTCTTCCTGGCGGAAGGCGCCAGCTTTCCCCTTCGAATACTGATGGATGCCATGATGTAGGTTCTGTGGTAACGGTCCTTCCCGTATCTACGTGTTCCTACGTTCCTACTGTCAAGTAGGAGTCTTCGATCGACGACAGTAGAGCTGCTGCACCCTCCAGCGCTACAATATGTATGCCGCCAAGCAGTCTCGAAGTATAAACCTAATAGCTGAGCAAGATGAGATCACCCCCCTCCAATTGTTTCCATTCTCACCAAAAAGAAGACGGACGGGCAAACAAACACAGCGAACCAGCGAGGGGGCACTCTCGCCTCCTCGTCGAAGAGGAACAAACTTTCCGCCGTTACGCTTTGACACACGGAGCCCCCTAGGGAGGGGTGCCGCCGAATGTATTGGTCGGTCCGCGTGCTCGAGCGAGACAGGAGAGCAGCGAGAAGGAGCGCAGCGGCAGCACGGCAGCAGTACACGTTGGTTGGCACCAACTCTGGGAGAAACGCAGCAAATCCAATACCTGTGTTTGTTGTGAAGCTGCGCTCCACGCGTTGTTGTTGCTCGTTGCCTGGATTTGGGCATCCACTTGATCGATCGGTGCCGCCGTTTCTTAGATCATGCCTGCGGTAGCCGAGGAAGACCATGACCCGTTTGGAGTGCTTCGCAACGCCAACACTGTGCTGCTGCACAACCTCCGCAGGGACGAGCTCTCTCCCGAGCTCCAGAAGCAGCTAACGGCGACTGGGATGGCGTCCACATCGCAAGCTTACTTCTGCGATCCCTACACCAACTCGTACTTGGCACCGCAGGTGTGACAAAGGCAGCCAGCCTATCGGCGCGCGCAGCAGATAGCCACACTTTTTTTGAATATTTGCGACGGGAGCCCCTTGGCGAAAGGCACGGATAGACAGGTGCCACAGGACCCCAGCAGTAGCGGACACCAGACTAGTAACAGAGACAATTCCCCCTACAGCAGTAGTGATGCTGATTGCAACTGTTTTCTGGCGTTGCCCTCTCACTCAACTATGTATGCACGCCTCATTATCTTTGCGCAAGAGTCACACCTATTTAGCTGCGGGGAGAATTGCGCCCTTGGAACATGCGGGGTTCAGGGTTCACGAATATAGTCGGCGACGTCGTTGCTCTGCAACCCAAATGAACATCGGATATGCTCCGTAATAACTGCAGCATTTTGCGCGTTTACATCCTCCTTGGGAAAACGATTGCAGCTGTGTTCAAGTCCTGTTCGTTACGCAATTCCTACAGCAGTACTGCTGATCCTCCTTCGAGGAACATTCGCTTATGATCAGCCGGGGGGAGTTTTAGCCATCAAACCACAGACGATACAGGATCCCCTATTCCAATGCTTACACGCCAAAGTTCGGTGTTCTCGTACAAGACTTCACTGTCAGCACGCATGAATATATACGTACGTGGCGAAGCCCCTCTTTTACCCCATCTACCCTTCCCCCGCTTCTGGTTCATCCTCTCGTCAAACGTAGCTTGGGCCGGCGAAAACTAGAGATGGGCACCGTTTGAAAAATAACCGGTAATACTTGGTTATTTGGAAACCCAGCAGGCGTTCATGAGTGACGGTCATCTAAAAAAAACGGAGTTATTTGGGAAAGGAGGCGTTTTTCAAACGGCTATCCCCGGTTAACCGGGTGGTTATCCGGTCAACTGGCGCTGAAAAACCGGTTATTCGGCGGTTTTTTATTTGAGAATAGCACCTCCTAGCCGGTTTTTGCTCATTGGTTGTTCCATTCTGGTGCCCATCTCTTCTCTGACACTACTATAGTACATCGTGTGAGTGAAGTACTGCGCCATACACCGGCGGAACACGGACGGGGTGATTAAAAGGTGGCGTGCATGCCGTTTAAACCCACAAAACAGACCCAAGTTTGAGAGATTGCGGAGGCGTTTCCTTACAGATCCGGTTAACCGGTTAACCGGGGCTGAAAAAACCCGGTTATACCGGTTATTGGATTTTGAGAATAACGCCTCCGAGCCGGTTATCGGTTATTGCTTTTTCACGTCCGGTGCCCATCTCTAGCGAAAACCCGGCGTGTTGCTCCGTCCCCGTATTGTAGGTGCGAGGTAGATGCGAGGTCTGTGGTCTCTAACGACGACGGCATGCGTTTACCCCCCTCTCCCCGCCGCGGCCCTAACCCACATTCTTCTCGAACATGAATTGGCCCTCTGCCGAGACTGGAAAACCCCCGTGAATTTAATGGAAATCCAAACCGCTGCTGCAGCCAGCCGGAACCTAACCGTCCCATCGTCATCCCTACTACCTTCTTCCCGCGAACGCGTTTTTCCGGCGGCGTAGATACAGCCGAAGTCGTTCGCGATGCTGCCGGAGGCCCTGTCGCGAGAGCGAGACCGCGTCGAGTGCATGACCTTCATGGGTTTGTTGCCGGAGATCGACCACGCGTGGATGACGGTGGACAACGTGCTCTACCTCTGGAACTACCACACCCAGGACTTCACGCAGTTCAGGGAGCTGGAGCAGGTGCCGACGCGTGTGTGCGTGCCGCCGCCGCCCTCTTTTTTCTTTTTTTCAGAAAAGTGTACCACTTACCATCACAGCAAGAACACCTGTTGGAGATATATCCACCGTGTCATAGTAGTCTAACGGGATGTGTTGAAGGCTTTGCGGTGTGGGTGGGACACAAACCTGCTGGATACTGCTGGGCTTGTTTTGGGTCTTTTTAAGCCTTTACATTAAATTGATGTTGTTCTTGCATGTCGATTTGAGCCTTTACATTGAGTTGTTGTTGTTCTTGCATGTCGTGAGTCTATTTGAGCCTTTCCACTGAATTATTGTTGTTGTTGCATGTCGTAACGTTACGCTGCGCGTCCCCGACGAGGGGTACCTCCACACAGCAGTGGGTCATCTGCTGTTGGTTCGTGTTGCGTGTTTGCGGTTCTGTCGAGTCACCTTTCATGTAGGCTAGACCGACCGTGTTGCACCTACACAGGGGAGGAAGGACCCCCCCGACCGAAAAATACACTCGAAAGACGAACGGCCACCTGAAAAATCCAACCTTTTCCCCCAAGTCCCAGCGGTGTAGACGCATCATTACGCAACTGCGGCGTATTTTAGAAGGGTGGTATTCATGCGAACATGTTTCAAGTGTGAGAAGAACCGATCCTTTGCAGCAGACACACGGGGGAAAGTGGCGTCCTCTTTCGATGCAGCGCAAGAAACATTTTCGAGCGGGTGGTGCCTTCCGTGGTCCAACTCTCTGCTGCCTGCGTTTGTTGAACCCCGCCCCCTCCGTCCTCTCGAGGACGCGTGGTCAATCGTCTAACCACAAAACATAAGAATACCCCCCCCCCCCCCTCCCCACGCAATGGCAAACCGGGGTCCCAGGTGATCGTGACGGTGGCGCTGGTCCCCCCCAAGAAGGGCGTATTCAACAAGGAGGTGGAGCACGTTCTCGCGGTCGCGACCACGGTAGAGGTGATCCTTCTCGCGGTAACGTACCATGAGAAACCGCAGGAGACCGGGAGTCCGAGGAACCGACGGATACAGGTGTGTGTGCGTTTTGTCGTTGGCATCGACCGCGTTATGGCCGGCTGGCCAACGAAAATAGTTGGTGCCTCAGTTTCACATGGGGATACTAATGCGAACACGATTTTCTACTCTGCGCTCCCCCCCCCGGCAGCAAGGGCGCCTAAACGATAGTACCGGTACCATCATCATTACAATGTTTTGACAACCACAGGATCATGAACAACGACGCTTCAACAGCAGCGGCGGCAGCGGCAGCGGCAGCAGCAGCAGCAGCAGCAGCATCATTATCAACCAGTAGCAAAAACACAACAGCAACAACCGCAGCAATAATAACAGAAAAACGAACAAACACTCAACAGCAGTAGTAACTGAAAAACATCCACACACCAACTATCGAGAACAACAACGCTACCACCACCGCCACCAACCACCGCCACCGAACAACCTAGGTGCGACGGACCAACTTCCGGGCCTCGACGGACGGCGTCTCCATGCTCAAGATCGCGGCGCACCCGAACGGCAGGGTCTTCATGGCCGGAAAAGACGGCAACCTGTACGAGCTCACCTACAGCGTGGCCTACGGCTTCTGGTACTCGGTCTTCTCGGTGGGCAGCCCGGTCCCCTCCCGACAGTGCAGCCGGCTCGCCCACAAGTCCTCCAGCGGGGGGCCAGGCCCCGTGAACTCGATGTTTGCCCTGTTGGGCCTGCGGCGCGCGGAGCGGGTGCTTGTGGAGGTGGTGGTGGACCCCCTCAGGAACGTTCTCTACACGCTCGACCTGGCGGGGGATGTAGACCTGTTCGACCTCGGAGCTGATGGGAACAGCACCACCCAGAAGGCATGGTTCGTTTTTTTTTTTTTTTTCCCTGGTTCACACCACCGTAAAGTTAGCAGCAGGTGGCATGAGATGCCACACCCCACTTTTCCTCCTGGAACCGTTTTGGAAGCTCGATTCGTTTCTCGGCGTTGGCGGCGTTGGCACCGTCTCGTCGAGAGCTTTCCCGAAAACTTACCGTTTTTTTTTTTTTTTGCCCTCGTTCGTCGCGGAGTATTCAAGCGTTGAGATTATGTCCCCGGCGGTGTGGTGTCTGTCGCGACCTTTCGATATGCGTGGGTGGGTGTCGAGGGCATGGTTGAGAGCGCTGCGAGGAGGTAGGTCCTTCTCCGTACCCGGTAGGAGCGGCGGCGGCGGCGGCGGCGGCGTTCTTGTTGTGTGGCTTCGGTTTGTGTTTGCGTTTCCTTATGGTCGCCCATTGCGGTTGAATCACAACGCCTCTGCCAATGTAAAAGCAAGAGATCAGACCGCCAGGAAATATGAGAGCAAGAAGGGTGGACCACAGAAGCCGTCTTTCCCGCGGGAGTTGGGCATCGTGGTATTGTGTCTGTGTCTTGTGACCTTGTGGTGCACCTCTTGTTTGTCCCCACGGCGCTCCCAGAAGGTGTCTATTATGTTGTTCTCGCTTTTAAGGAAACGTCCTAAGGATAGTGTCCATTGCGCGGTTCTTTTTCTTGTTCCCCTCCCTATTGTTGTTTTTGTTCCTGCCAGGCACCGTGCATCTGGAAAAGCTACGTTGTCCTTGAAGCGGGTGCGACGGTATACTGCTGTTGTGTCCATGTTTTTAAGAGACTAGCTTCTATGTTCCTTCCTTCTTACTGTCTGCTTGTCCCCCTTCTGTTGTTTGTCCTCTGTGGCTTTGCTTCCAGAACAACGTGTTCAATATCTGGATAAGGGCAGCCAGGTTTTGCCAAGGCTATGGCAACGGTCAGAGCGGACTGTCCCACTTGACCTTCAAGGACCCCAAGCAGCACCAGGTGAGCACTTCTCTGTGTAGAATGGATTATACCTACAAGGGTAGCCGGCTGCTGTTGGTCGCGAGCCTAGACTACATGAACAACATACCAAAACTAATGCATGCATACGGGCAATGTGACCACAGGAGATCATTGTCCTTGTGCTCTTTCAGCATCGATACCGACGTCTTTTGAGGGCATACCCTTACGCATGCATAAGGGCAGAAAACGGCGACAGCAACCTTGAGTATCCGTTCCATTCGACCCGTTGGGAAAAAAACAAAAAACGCAGATTGTTTCTCTGGGAGTGGTGCCTGCAACGGAGAGCAAGACGGTCGCACTTGTTGCAGTAACCGACTCCGGGATGCGGATCTACTTGTCTTGCGGCTCCAGGTGCGATGATGCATCGTTCAATATGTGGCCGTCAGGTTTGTATGCGGCGTTCGAGATGTGGCCCTTGGTTAGCTCCTTTTTCTCTGCCGTTCTTTCCTCCTTGTTTTTTGTTTGCAATCTTGTTTCGCGAAAACTGTCTCGGAAGAAGAGGTAGAACACCTGTTTGTGCTGTGACCGTAAAACTCCCCTTGAGGTCGTCGGGCGAGAGGCCAGATCGATTGCTGTGATCAACGTTTTGGCGTTGTCACAAAATGTGCTGCTATCAAGTCTTTTGACCGTTATTTGCTCCCCTCCGTCTACCCCTGACGCCAAACATCCTGGCGGCGAACGATGTGATTGGTGAGCAGCGGTGGCAAGCGGCACAACTTCCGGCTCACCATCGTGCAGATACGGTGCCCCCCGCCGGAGAAGCTTTGGCAGTACTTGCACCAGCACCAGGGGGGGGTGGGCGCGGCTCCGGTGCCTGCTGATGGCGGTGTAGGTACCGCGACGGCGCAGCAGCAGCAGCAGCAGCAGCAGCAGGTGCATACAACATTACCACCAATATATTTATTTGTAGTACTCGCTACGCTCAGAGTGTTCAATACTGCAGTGTTTTGTGTGCCCTTTTTGGCCTCGGCAAGGACTAAATCGCGCCGCAGCCGTGTGCAGTGGCCCCTTCTAGTCGAATCCAAGTCGTCATTCGAGCCTATGTAATGCTGCAGTCAGCACCGGCCGCGCCATGTACACCTGTTGGGTGCTACATGAAACGGGAAATTGTAACTGTTGTCGGAAACGCTTTTGGACGAAGAGACTCAATTTTTGTTTTGTGGGCCCTCAGAACAACGCGAGAAACTTCGTCGAGTTGCACTGGTTGCAGTTTTGCAGTCAGTCTTTCCCACTGGTGATTGAGGCAGCTTGTAGAATCCACAGGGTTTTCTTTTGCACATCGTCAGTTGCCACAGCTCTTTTCATTCGTTTTCTCCCTCTCCCCTTCTCCCTTTTCCGCTTCTGCTCTCTCTCCCCTCCCCTCTGTCTCTGTCTGTCTGTGTGTGTGTCTCTCTCTCTTTCTTGTTTCTCGCTCTCTCTCCCTCCCGCTCTCTCTTTGTCTCCCTCCCTCCCCCCCGCCCCCCCCCCCCCTCTCTCTCTCCCGTCCTTTACCCCTCAGATGTTCCAGCCCGCAGACGGTTTCCCGGCCAAGTGGGAAAGGCAACCGCCTTCCGTGTACGGCGCGTACTGCTGCGGCGGGGTGACGGTTCTAGCCCAGGCCTTGGCGCAGGGTGATCGTCTCGTACTCATCGGATCGGACTTGATCACGCGCGCCAAGCGCAAGCGTGAGATGCGCCAGGTGACAGAGAGATAGCGTGAGAGATCATTAGAGGGAGAAGGAAAGAGGGACAGAAAGAGAGACAGCGACAGAGAGAGAGAGAGGGGGAGAGACAGAAAGAGAGACAGAGACAGAGAGAGGGAGAGAGAAAGAGAGACAGAGAGAGACAGAGAGACAGACAGACAGAGGGAGGAAGAGATCTCAGGGAGGAGTTCAGAAGCGTTTGATGATGCGCAGCGCCGTCTTCGTCGTTCGTACTTCCAAAACTGTTTCTGTCATCGATCGTGATATGATATTTTCTGTTGTTGCTGCTTCCTCTCTCAGGGTTGTCGCGGCTTGAGCCCCCCTCAACACGCGTTTCGATATCGGGTTGCTACTTTCGATATACCGGGGGGGCCCGACGAGCCCCATACCCCGGGGCCACTTTCGACAAGTTTGTGTGCCTCACCGTTGGTTTTGGTACGGGGCGTCGTCCGGGCCGAT